GGCGGCGGCGCGGCGGCGGAGCGGGGCGGGGAAAGCGCCGTACCTGAGCGTACAGCTGGCCTCGCGACAGCCTGCGTAGGGTGATGAGCGGCGGCGGGCGCGGGGCGCGCTGAATCGTCGTCGGGTCACCCAGGTGTGCAATCACCCCGTGCCCCCCCCCATCCCACCCACCAACACGAGCCGCCCGGCCTCCATCCTCACTGCATACCCTCATCCACGGCGCCTCACGCTCGACCCCTTTCAAGTGTTTGTCCTTCCGCCGGAGGCTCGCCACCCGCGCGCGTGTCAACCGGGCGTGCATCACACGCGCGTCACCCGCGCCTCACCGCCCGGGCACGTCCTGCGGCGCGTAGACCTGTGACGTCATCAGGTCGTCAAAGTCCAGGGGCACCCCCAGCTTGGACTGGAGGGACGCCTCGTAGGCCTGTGGCAGCAATTCATTGGTTTATTCCGTAAAGGGAGGGGGGGGCGCGATCTATCAATTAGTGGGGACACAACATACGAGCCGTAGAGCGCCCGCCTCGGCGGCTCGCGCCTCGCTCGCGGCCGCCCGCGCCGCCGCCGTCGCGGGCCGCCCCGTGGGGGCCCAATCCCCCTTGCCGCTTGCAATTCCTCCGCCCCCGCGCCCTGGCAGCAACCGCCATCATCATGACATGATTCCAGTCATCCCCCGCCCCGTTGTAACACCCCCAGCGCGCCTTGTCGCTGCCAGGGGCCTGGCGGGTGCGGCGATAGTGCTCCGCTTTTTTGCGGCCGATCAGTGCCTGCAGGTCTGGGTCAGTCCTGGGGGATGGGGTGTATGAAGGGGTGGGGAGTTCGAGGGTGGGGGTGGGCGACGGCATGGGCTTGACGGGTGAGCACACACTCGGGTGCATGTGTCCCTATGTGTGCGCGCAGGCATGGAATTCGTGGGCACCAAGCAGGTCGGCGCTTTGCGGATTAAAAGGGGCGGCGTGCGTGCAGCCTTCGCGCGTGCGCGGCGCGTGAGGGGCACCCACAAGGCGCTGCTGCTCTTCATGCCGCCGCTGCAGATTGCAGACAACGATCCGTGTTGATGTGACACTTGCGACCAAGCACGGACACATCTTGACGCGAGCGCACGTGTGCAATCGCATGCGCGCGCGCGAACACACACACACACACACAAACACATACACACACACACACACGCACACATACACACAAACAAACAAACTCCGTTACTCCTACCCATATCCACCGAAATTTCCCGCGCGCACACACACACACACACTTGCCCATAGCATGCCCCGTAGAACACCCCACAGCACAATCCACAGCACACCAGCGCGCACCTGATAATCCTCTCCATATCCTTCGGGGCCGGCAGCGGGCTGGCCTGGCCGCCGCCGCCCTTGACCTGCGCCCCCTTCCCGGTTGCCTTGCTGCCGCCGCCCGCGCCGGGCCCCACGTACACCTCATCCACCGCCGAAGCGGCCAAGTCTGCGGCGGGGTTGGCGCCGCCGCTGCGCCGCCACCCGCCCGCGCGGCGCCGCTGCTGCTGCTGCTGCTGTTGCTGCGAGGCCGGGGCGGGCCCGCCGCCGCTGGTGCTGGCCTGCTCGTTCGAGAGCAGGCGGCTGTCAGCGGCGGGCGGGGCCGCGGCGGCGTGAGAGGCGCGCGGCTGCAGCGCGGCGGCCGCTGCAAAAAGCACGACACCGCCCGCGAGTTTGGCGGCGGTCGCAAGCCATGCGCCCGCCTTGCTGGCGGCGGCGTCTGGCCGCAGGGGCCCTACGGCCTCAGCGTCGTCAAATGGGTTGCCGGCGCCGCCGGCGCCGCCGGTGTCGCCGCCGTTGCTGCTGGGGCCGTCCTCGCCGCCGCATGCCAGCGCGACGTGCTGAGCGCGGCACGGGCGGCTGCTGCCGCTGCTGCTGGGCACGGCGCGGCGGGGCGCATGGGCCAACACACGCACGGCTCTCGATCCCAGCGTCAATGGCACCACTGTATGCCTGTGAATGGCCATCCCAGGGGCCATGAGCCCCACGGGAGACCGAAGCATTGTTTTGGCTATGCGCTCGACTATAGCTGATGCACCATTCCACTTATCAATAAACTATGAACCAGATCTATTGTCGATAACAGAGAAAGGCGCAACCAGATCAGACGGCTGCGGTGACTTAGCCAGACGTTGATATGGCAGCGGTGGGTTCATGTTATCGAAACACCAGCATATGGAGCTCGCAGATGGGTGCCAATGTGACATCCTCCACGGCAGTCGCACGGTCTTCGGTGATAGATGACTGGGCAGTGTGCAAGGCAGCAACTTTGCCCCGTTGCACGTGCACTGCAAGTAACCCGTCATCTTTTTGAATCCATCATCTTGGGGCTTCACTTGAGATCCCTGCACTCGCCCCTTTCGCTGCATCGGACTTGGCTGTTCAGCTCGCCCATTGCCTTCAAGCTGCGTCAGCTAAGTCGTAGACATGCAGACGCTCGCGCAGCACTGTACCATGCGGGCCGCGGCGGCGAAGGGCGCGCCGCTCTGCGCGCACCGCACTGCTGCTGTGCCTCGCGTCGGACGCGCGCAGCGGCTCCTCTGCCGCGCGGAGCAGCAGCAGCAGCAGCAAACCACTGAGAGCTCAGGTGCGGCCCCTGCATTGCGCATCCTCATCTTGTAAGCCATGCGCAATGCGCGCACCCCATGTGGCTCCTACGCCCCCGCCGCACGTTGCATGCGCCGGCCCCCCCACCATGCACCCGCCCAACCCGCTATGCGCGCGCATGCGCGCCCCCGCATGCAGCCGACGCGGCGAGCACCAGCGGCGGCGCTGACCTGGACAAGGAGCTGGCGCGGTTCACGTCCAAGACTGCGGCCACCTTTGCGCCGCGCGCGTCGGGCAAGACCAAGAACCCGGCGGTCAAGGGCAGCACACTGTACTGGGTGCGCTGCACGGGAGTGGAGGGGGGTGTGCGGCGG